CCCACCCTGACTCCCCTTCAGGTACCGACCGACCTTACCTCGGGCATCACTCAATACCTAGGTGCTCATCCAAGCGTGCCAGGCCAGGCCAGGCCAGGGAAGACAGATGAGCAAAGAACTCACACTCGCAAGTCTCACAGTCTCAATCGCAACGATGTGGGACGCCAAAAGTCTGGCAAAGGGCAGTTCTGAGTCTTGGATCAGCGCTGGGAGATGCCGGATGGGCCTGGTCATGGAGCCCCGGGGGACCAGGAACACCGCGCCGGCCGCCCTCTCTGACTCTCACAGTGACAAGCGTCTTTCACCCTCCTCTCTCACACAATCTCACTTGCTCGCTTGCTCACTCACCATAGGTACGCATCGCTCATCTTCTAGGTAGGCTTCCCCACTCTAGAAACGCCACTTACCGCCAAGCAACACTGCGCCGTGGCACGCGTAGAAACTGGCAAAAGGCATGGCGGACAAGTCAAGAGTGAGAGAAGTGTGTGAGAGTTCACCCTTCGGATGAGAGGGGGCCACCCGCGAGCCGGGAACGCCTTGGTAGCCCAACGCTTCCACATGCTATCTACGGTTACGGACCGAAACTATCGCTTGATACCGAATCTTGAACTCCTATGGAATTCCAATGCGGAGTTCGAATAGGTAGATAGGTACTGCAAGCGCTGCTCACAAATCCGACCCGTTTCCAGGCAAAAGTCTCATTGCTCATCGCTTCTTGCCTGAATCCGTACTCGTAGGGATCTCAAGTTGCTCAGCTCCTCCTCGTCACAAACACCAGCCAGCCAGGATCACCGCTCATACTCCAGCTCAGCTCGATGGGTGTCCCATGATGACGACGGGCATTTTTCTGCCCTAGCCTTTTTACGTCTCCACACTTTTCATTTGCGATGCCCCCGTTTCTCTTCGGTTGCTATTGATCTTTAAAGTATCCGTACCTCGACCCTCGATGAGCCAAGACTCACCGGCGCTCGCCGTAGCGCTGGGTCGCCGGATCACAAAAACCTGCAAGACACCTGAAGAAAGAAACGGAAAAGAAGACTTCGCCCCCCAGCGGCCCTCACTAGATTGAGACTCGAGAGAGACATCAGCCGTAAGCTAGTAGAGCTCGCTAGTTCCAATATCTCCGGTGCTGAAAGGCTGAAAGCAGCTGTGGCTTTTCCACTATCAATCACCTTGCTCACCGGTGGCGCCTCGGTCTCTGTCTCTCCTCGCTTTTTTTTTTCCCTTCTCTTGCGCTCTTTCAACTTTCCAGGTGTGTTTCTCGTGTCCGGATATGCCTCTTATCTCCCCCTCGCAAGCGCGCGCGCTCGTCACGGTCGTTTTGGTGCTTCATGCTTCTTTTCCAGACCAGGGCCGTGTCCTCGACTCGTGGACCGTGAGGTGTCTTCGCCCGTCTCTACCAATGTGCGTGTGTGCCTGTCTCTGCTGCTCACGCTCAGTGCCCACACTCAGTCCCCTACCCCGTCCATCACACACACAACACACCTTGCACACCTCGTCCTTCTGATTCTCATCCAGCGCCTCAGCGAGTGTCTCACAATGGAGCATGGCTGCGACTCGCCCTGCTTGAGCCTGCCACAACATCACCAAGAATGCAGAAAGGCCAAGCATCCCACCCACGCACCCCGCAAACACGCTTGACGGGTGCTTGACCTTGGCCTCTAACCATCCCTCCGGCCCGTTGGACCTCGTGCTTCAACGCCTTTAGCAACTCCCAAAGACCCAGCAAAACTGCTCAAAGTCTGAACAATATCTGGCCCCCTCACTGGTGACGTTGACAGCCATCAGTTAGCCTTTAGTGTGCCTACCATCTGCCCGCCCATCAACAGACTCTCTTTGGCTCCCTCATCTCTTACTGTGACTGAACCAATCGAGTACTACTTATTACCCCTCCCTCATCCGAGACACTAGAGACAATCCCTCAACCCTCCGTCTGGGCCATCTGAAACGCCTATTCGTCCTTGACACGCATGGCACGAACCCTGAATTGCATACTGCAGCATTGCAGAATGCGAGCGAAGAAGGAGGGCAGAAAATAAAAACTTAATCATTAAATACCTGGATGCTATCCGGGGATCGTCTCGTTCCAGAGAGGAGGGCATGACAGATCGTCTTCCCTCTGTCCTGCGCGTACTGACTCTTGTCATAAACTCTGATCATTGAACCGGAACCTCTCATCTTTCCCTTTCTTGCTATGTAAAATGGTATTTTGCGTATGTGCGATAGAAATCCGATGGAAGAAAACTAAGATCCAATTAGGAGACAACGCCAAGAAACGTCTCTCTCTTCCTCATCCTCTCTTCTCTCTCTGATTCCCCTCTCCTTCATCCCATTTCCAAAAAGGGGAAAAGAACATTTCATCATGACATTACCCTACGGTCGCCCGCCAGGCCCTGCTTTGCATTGTCCACAGTCTATATGGGTATTTTGCCCCCTGTCCGTACTCTCCTTTTCTAACTTCCCGGAAACCTGCCCAACAACCCTCTGTTTACCAGATGTCATCATCACTCCTGACCATCTCCAACGTTGGTGTCTTAGGCTCCAGCTTCTTCATCCTCTTCCGGTCAGCCTTGGTGATGAGGGACGGTGTCATGGGCACGCAGGGCGTGAAAGGCTGGTAAGGCGAGTACGGCACCGCCATGCCAGTAGCCGGCGTGCGTGCTCCCGACGGCGACAAAGGTCCCGTGCGCGTGAACACGGTCTGTTTGGTGGTCTGCGAAGCCAGCGACGGTGAGCTCAGAGCAGGCTCATACGCGCGCAGAGGCAGGGATCCGCCAGTGCGGACTGCCGAAGGGGCCTTGGACCGGAACCCGGCTCCTGGCAGGGGCGAGGCGGGGAGCTGGAACGAGGATCCTGGCTTCGGAGACGAGGGTAGGGTGGAGCTGAATCGGGCGCCCGGCTTCGGGGATTGCGGGAGCCCGATGAGCGGCGCGGTCGATCGCTCCGAGACGGCGGAGTTGGGGTCCATTTCGGAGGGCGCCGCAGACGGCTTGCGGACATGACCGATGGGGATCTGGCCGCCGATCCGCTCGTCGATGCTCTGGGTGCTCTCCGGGGAGTGGTCAGGGCTGACGGGTGATACCTGGCCGTTGTGCTGGTGTACTCCGTACGGCATCTGCATCTGGCTCATGGGCACCGGGGGAGGTGGGGGCGGTGCGTACTGCCGCGGCGGTATGGCGTTCATCTCTTGCGCCTCCTGTCTCGGGAAAGTTCCCGTCATGGGTGTCATGATGGGTGACGAAATGCTGATACCCCGGACGTTCTTGTCTTTCTTAGGAGAACGCAGCGCCGAGAAGATGGATGAAGCTCTCGACTGCTTCTTCTCTGGCTTCTCCTCTGCCAGGTTCAGGTTGCCTGGCTTGTGCTTTTCCTTCCTCAGGGACGACTTGCTAAAGCTGGCATTCGTCGGCGTTGGTAGCTGAGGGTTGGCCGAAAGTACCGGTGACCCTTCCAGCTTGATGCCCTGAAGTTTGGCCTCCTCCTGCTCCATCACGTACTTGTACATCTCCTCAAGTTGCGTTTGCGCCATTTTCTTATCTTTGGCGACGATTCTCTGGTCCACGGTAAAGTCTATTCCGGGCGCCTGAAGCGTCGACGTTGGTGTTGGGTTGACGTAAGGGGTCTGGGGAGTTGGATATTCCGGCGTCTGGTATTCCTCGGCACCGGGATACGAAAAGTTGCGGACGGGGCTCCGGGGAATGCTCCTGGGCGAACTCGGCACCTCAAGGGTGAGTTTCGGGGGTGACTTTGGATCGTCGAGCGGCTCTTCAAGTCCACCCTCAAAGTTCACCTCGTCGTCACCGGCAGTGAGGGCCTCACGACGTCTTTTCGATAATACTAGCAACAAACCGGCGACCAGCACCAATGATACTCCGTAGGAACCGACGATGGCGCCGATCTGGTAAGGGAGATATGCAGGGTCTCTGAGAGCGTTTGCAGATACAGGCGGTCCGTCCTCTGGTGATGGTGCGGGATCCCAATCAATGTTCAACGGGTTGTTGTTGCTGCGAGTCTCCAGGACAGACGGTGACGGGGCTGCAAGTGTGATGTGGCTGCTGCAAAAGAAGAAGTAAAGAACGAAGGTCAAGAAGTGAAGTCGAGGACACGAGTTAAGAAGGGCTTGGACGGGTTTCATGGTGAGGTGGTGAGGACACCGCAACTCTTTTTAAAAGTCAAATCCAGCTTTGATGATCTTACCTCCTGGAGGAGGGTCCGAAACACATTGTGATGGAGAAGTTACATGGAAAGGCACGGATATGCGGCGTACAAAGGGTATATAGCGGCTGGTGAAGTTCGGCAGTGCGTCGAGATTGGCGCTGACCGTGTGCTCTGGACTCTGACTTGCTGAACACCCAGGCACGACGCCTGCGAAGCGGTCGCACTCGCATGATGGCGACGATAAAATAGCGCCCAAAATGGCTCGTGGCTATTAATGTCGTCTGCAGAGGAGGCGGGAGCATCAAGGGCTTCCCGAGATGTGGTTGGACGGATCGACGTGATGGCAGGGGGCGTAAGCGCCGAGGATGGCTGCCGGGGGCATGATTGGATTGCTCCGTCACATCCAAGTTGATCCAACCCCGCGCCGTGCCACCCTTCATTGTCATTCAACAAGAACTCTGGCAACTCAATTCGTCCTCGCAGGGCAATAAACCATGTCCTGCCATGCCCTGCCATGGCCCCAAACTGGTTGACCACTGAGAGTCGGAATCACCGTGGTCTGTCGTGAACAGTGGTGAAAAAAGAGGAGCGGTTCCCAGGTCAGCTGTTCAGGTGGTTCCGCCTGTCGTCCTCGCTTCTCATCCTGTCTCTCACGTCTCTTCAGTCTCGACTGTCCAAGGGGACACATGCAAAGCGAATCCAGTCCCCCAAATCCAGGCCCAAGTCCCGGCAGCGGGAAGGCCATCCCTGCATTGGCCCCATCACTATCTCGTTCTGACCGCATGAGCTGCTGCAATAGGGCACAACGTTATTGCACTGGCCTTGCCCTCTGGAGCATCGCATCACAGGCGTCCTCGAATGGGATCTCTGCCCAAGTGTGACTTCACATTGCGGGCAGCATTAAAGCGTGATGATCGTAACTTCATCACCGTGATAGGACCGACGCTGTTCTTCTGCCATCGAGCGACATCGACCGATGGAACGTTGACTTTGTTTCTGCCCGTTCGTGCCGTTGAGTTGAGTTGCTCCTGTTTCTCATCCACGACGGAGGGGTAAACCTTGGGCGAGCACGGGTGAATGTCCGTTCGCTTTCGGCGGGTAGCGAACAACCCTTCGCGAGTCATCAAAGCAACAATGAAGAAAACAGACTTTGTCCGAGCGATGCTTATTCGCTTTGCCCAGTGGAGCGTTCCGTGGTCCCTTACACCCTTCCAGCCGGTCGTTGCCGGTCTGGCACGTCTGGGTGTGATGGAAACGGCGGGATGGGACTCTTGATCGAAGAAACAAAAGCCAGCTTGTCGAATCAGAGCCACGCATAATGGATTTGGCATAGACTCTAGAGGAAGGGGGACTGTGGTGTTCACCTCGCGGAGCTCAACCGATAAACCGTCGGCGAATGCATCCGGATCCGAGAGCAGTGCGACTGCACCGCCTATTGAAACTCGTCGATGATTGCCGCAATAGGGCTTCTTTCGCCTGGGCGCTTGAAGAGCATCGAAGCAACGGAAGAAGCCAAACTGAACCGTCGGGTCACCCAGTGGCTGGGTGGGATTTGTGGTTCATGTCTCAGTGGGTGACTTTGAATTCATGAGTTGAGTCGTAAGAACAAAGAAGCCATCAACGAGAGTTTAGCGGTCCGGTATGGGGAGTGTTCCCCTGCTGCTTCAGTGCGAGCTGCAGGTGGGTCGCGGAGGTTTGCGGATCTGCGGATGCACGTGCGTGGCGAGGTATCCTTGGCAGGGGCCTTTACCCACGTGAGCGGTCACCTGATGTCGTGCCGGGTACACAGGTACCGCGATGTTGAGTTGGGTGCTGGTGCCACAATCTGAGCCCTGAGACGCGACCCTCTTCATCGGGAGGCGGTAATCGAGCGGAGCATTCACTGTTGGACAGCATTCTGTATACCAATATTTGCAATTCACTTCCCTTTCCTGCCAATGATTGCCTTACGACAATGAACTCGTCAAGTTCGGCCCCAGGCCCGGCCGAATCCATCCTTGCGACGTTGAATCCAGCACAATGTCGCGCCGTCACGTCCAAAAATGCCACCGTCGCCATCCTGGCTGGCCCTGGAAGTGGCAAGACGCACACCTTGACATCTCGTGTCGTTTGGCTTGTGGACAATGTTGGATACGCGCCCACTGACATGATTGTCGCCACTTTCACGGTCAAGTCCGCACGGGAGATGAAGGAGCGCATCTGCAAGGCCCTTGGAGATGACCGCGGGAAGAAGATTGTTCTCGGCACATTTCACAGTATTGCTCGCCGCTACCTGGCTGCCTATGGCAAGCGTATAGGGCTTGATGAAAAGTTCGCCATTGCCGACGATGGAGACTCGAGAGCCGTCATCCAGAGGATTTGCAAACGATTACAGCTATCAGTCGATCCTCCTGCTGCAAGATCATGGATCAGCAAGAAGAAGGCTAGGGGTGACAATCAGGCACCAGTAAAGCGGAACGGTAAACCAGTACCCGAGAATCGCGACCTGGAAATATGCTTTCGCGAGTACCAAAGCCATCTCGAACGGTCGAATCTGCTGGACTACGACGATTTGTTGACTAAGTGTGTGGAGTTACTTCGAAAGCACCCTTCTTGCGTTGCCAACGTCCAGGCGGTACTCATTGACGAGTACCAAGACACCAATGGCATTCAGTACGAACTCATGAGGCTGTTTGCTCAGGCACGAGAACGAATAACCATTGTGGGAGATCCGGACCAGAGCATCTACGGCTGGCGTTCCGCCGAGATCAAGAATTTGTACCGTCTGCTAAAGGACTATCCCAAAGCGGACGAGATCTCTCTGGAGGAAAACTACCGCTCGTCCCAAGCAATCCTGGATGTCTCCTTGAAGGTTATCCAGCAAGACAAGAAGCGTTACCAAAAGGTCCTGTTACCTATCCACAACAAAGGCACACGACCAGTTCTCCGGAGACTAAAGTCTTCAGCCGTGGAAGCCGAATGGATTGTGTCTGAACTCAAGAGAGCCTTGCTAATGGCCGGCAAGATGCTGACCTTCGATGATGTGGCCATTCTCCTACGGTCGGCATCGCTTTCTAGGCACGTCGAATCCTCTCTAGGAAAAGCAGGCATTGCATATAAAATGGTTGGCGGATTCAAGTTCTACGACCGCGCTGAGGTCAAGGTGATTCTTGACTACCTGCGTGTCATTCACCAGCCCGACAACAATGATGCAGTGGCCCGCATCATCAATGTTCCCCGCCGCGGCGTTGGAGACACAACTATAAAGTCCCTTCTTGAGGAAGCCGAGAGCTCCAAGCTCAGTGTTTGGGTGGTGCTAAATAAGCATTGCCGGGGAGAGCGCCAAGCAAAGACGAATATCAAGAAGGCCATGGAGCAAAAGATTAGCGCAGAGCTTCTGAGACTGATTTCTGGGGTCAGAAGGAAGATTGAAGAGCCTCCAATCGGGAGTCCATACTACCACTTGGTCGACCTTATCCAGAATCTGCTTTCACAGCTCAACTTCCAGAGATACCTTCAGGAGAACTACCCGGAGGAGCATGAGACGCGATGGGCCAACGTTCAGGAATTCATCAGTCTGGCGGGCGATTTTATGCGAGACTTGAACGCCACGGCTGAGGAGGATCGTCTTCCAGTGATCGATGGAGTCCAGCAGGTGCAAGAAAATGACGCCTTGGGCCGTTTCTTGGCAAACGTCTCCTTAGCGTCGGATGCGCAGCAAAAGGGAGATGCGGAGAACAAGCCGACTGTAACCATCTCAACTATTCACGCAGCTAAGGGTCTTGAATGGCCCATCGTCTTTGTACCAGCAGTGTACAATGGATCCATTCCACACTCGAGGTCAGAGGATCTCGACGAGGAACGTCGGCTACTTTATGTGGCCATGACACGTGCGCAGACACTCCTCTACCTCAGTTGCCCAATGTACAGCTCGCAGAATGGAGGAAACGGTGGCGAGCGTACTGAGCTATCGCCTTTTATCCCATCAGAGATTCATCCGTATTTTAGGAAAACCGGTCCGTCCTTTGAGCCTGGGATCCTTCAGGAGATGGGGCGCATTCTTGGAAGAGAGAAAGTTGTGCCAACACAAGACAAGGTGTACAAGGAACTGCCGCCCATGGAACGGCCCGAGGACAACTTATGGCCCGAAGATCCGGAAGACTCTTTTGGCGAAAGGGGCGCGAGTGGGAGGAATATGCCCTGGGCACAGAGACGCCCTCGGGCACAGGCAACTTCAGCATCAGGAGAGGGCGATTCCCAGCCGATACCCACCTGGCACACTTCTACAACAATGGACAGTGCTTCCAACTTCACTCTGCCAGGCTTTACGACTGCAAGCGCGGCACGGGAGATGCTGGCTGCTGCAAGGGAGATGGCCGCATCCGCTCAGCAAAACGACTCTGGACCTCAAAAGTCCGCCGCGCCCAGAAAAGGAACGTCGAAGCGGCCGGCTGATCAGCGGAGTCTTCTGGGTTTCGTCAAGAGGACCAAATCCGATTTATCGCATACATCCTATCCCTCAACACATCGTCCAGCAGCTCCCGAGCCACGATCGATTGCTCAAGAGCTTCCAGAGTTGCCAGACTTGCACCAAGCGCAGCGCCCTGCGAATGCCATTGAGCCGGGCCTCAGCGGTCACCGACTCGGACAGGGGAGAATGCCCGCCAAACCAGTAAGACCAGCTTTCGAGGGCACCGCGGGGCCAAAGAAACACTATACAAACTTCTCGAGCTCCCCGCCTCGAGCGAAGTCTCCTGAAAAGGAGAATCAAGACATGAACGAGCCACCGCCGGTCCGGGAACGGCCGGCGAGCTGCTTACATACGACCACGACTACGAATGGCTTTGGGGGATTCAAGCGGCCGGCGGCGTTAAAGAAGGAAGGAGGCCTTGCACCGATAGACCGGCTGAGGAAGCCCTTCAAGCCGCTGACGATTAATAGATCATGAGGGTATGGTCGTGGCTTCTTGTTTGGACTTTTGCGGTGTTTACTGTGGGCACGGCGTTGCTCGGGTGTTGGCTGGGCATACCTCGTAGCATGATGATAGCAGAACTCTAGATATGTACATTGAACATTTTGGTTACATAAGTCCTTACCTCAGGTACTGGGCAAAAGTGATAGGCTCAATACAAGCCCAATAGGGAAAACCAAAGTCCCCGCGACATAAGACAGGACAATATTCCTCCGAGCTGACGGACACGTCTCCACTTTTCCCGGGTGCAGTCGGCTGGGGTGTGCCACCTTCACGCTTAGGCATGTCGTTTTACGCTGACTCCAGCGCATCCTTCGTAAATATGGCAGACGCTCGGGTCGTAAATAACGGCGGACTGAGAATATAAAATCTTCGAGCGCAACGCGATAGATGAAGATAGCATTGGTATTATCAGATACGCCATCATACATACATACGTAGCCTCCAAAGAGTAAACAAGATTTGATTCTCAATTTTTTTGGGATCAGGAATACGGTAACAACAAAGCCCAAAGTCATGTCAGCGTCTACAGTACGTATCGCAACAAGGACTCTCGTCCTCCCCGCAGGTCTTCGGGGCCGGCCGCTCCAGCGCGCAGCCTTCTCCACATCGCCGTCCTGGACTGCCGGCGGTACTGCGCAGGGCAAGAACAACAGCAGCAGCAACAACGTCAACGGTAACAGCAACAAAATAGGAGGAGAAGATCCAATTGAGATCCCGGCATTCAATCTTCGACACATTTCTTCTAGTCCTCGGGCGCGGTTTTGGTTGATCACGGGGTTTTGTGTGATTGCGAGCGTGGAGATGTATGGATGGTATAATTTTGGGCCAAAGATTTTGGGGTGGGAGGGGAAGGGGGAGGATGAGTGATGCTGCTGCTGCGAGCATGACTCTTATCCTGAGAGTGTTTTATTCGTACTCAAAGAGAAGTCTGAGGTCTAAAATCTCCACTACTACATAAATATTGCGATAGATGCCACAGTCTAAATTGAGGACAGCGCAACCATGTGGGCGCGATATTCTTCGGCTTTCTGAGGGTGGCTTCCGCGTTCTGCGAATGGCTTTTGATACATTGACTTGTTCAGATGTTCTGCCTTTTTGCATCGCAGTCGTGATACGGATGTCTTATCCTAACGGTAGTACTCATCTTCACCTATCGAGGATCATATGTTCCATCCGGACTATATAAGTGCAGGGCAAGACTCCACCGCAGGTGACAAGAGTAATTTAGGGCGATACGTCTGAATGTATGGTACTTTATTTCAAGAGAATGTTTAACCAGAATAGGCTTACTCACGATCTAAGCGGAAGCCTGCCACGAGAAATTGCCAATGAACCCCGCCACCCACTACGGTAAGCTTGGTCAGGTCATTAGATAAGAAGTTATACTGCTGATTGAATTTGTTAGATAGGTAGGTAATGTGAAGGGTGACCTTTGCTAAGAGCTTCTTTTCGAAGCTTGAGCTCGTCAGAATTTGCATCGAAGATAGGCACTCAACACGCCTGCCTGGACGATTGCATGGACATGCCAGTGAGGTTTCAGTTGCTGGTAATAAAGACCTTGACATATTGCTACCACGGATACTTGGTACACATGAGTTCAGTAGATGCTTGGAAGGTCAAGCGATGTGTGTGGTAAGTTTGGAGACACAACCAGTTCTAGAACCGAAGTCCCCGGGCCGAACCTCGAGCGGGACTGAGTTGAAGTATCCGGGTATCCGCAGGCCCCAGGTCCGGGGGAATCCCCGCGTGAGCCTCCGGAAAGGCAGCCGACCATGTGCCGCATTGGGCAGGTACCTGACTAAGAGATCCACGTGACTGTCATCGTGACGCCATTGATTCTGCGGCGACTAACAGCGGGGTGGCTGGGAAGGAAATACCCAATAAAATTGCTGGAGGACG